ATATCCATGTAACAATAATCTAATTTGTTAATTATTTCAGAGCAAACGTGTAGGCGTGATCAACGCTGCGGCTACTGGCATGGGTCTGCTCTCTAACAAAGGCCCACAGCCATGGCATCCGGCCAGTGACGATGTTAAGGCTATCTGCAAACGAGCCTCCGATTACTGCAAAGTATTAACCTATTACTCTTTCTTATTAATTATTATTATTCTTTATTATAACCTAAGACGAAGAAAGCGTCTACGCGTTGGTCTAATACTAATGGACTAATAGATGGCGTGAATGCTAAATGCTGTGTTCTACATATTGTGTGTATAGTGCAGTGCACAAACTTGTATTGTTTTCTATTTTTCCAGAGTAAGAATGTTGAATTAGCCCGCATCGCGTCCTGGTTCACGTTAAATCAACCCGGCATCGACGTCAATATCTGCGGTTTCTTCAATGTCGAACAAATGGTTGACACACTCGAAATATTGGACAGCGGACTCAGCGAACATGAGAAAATAGTACTGTCTGAGATCCAGACGAGGTAATGTTCTAGCAACTTATTTAGTTTGCATCATAAAGTAAGATTTGCACAGCTGAATAGCAAATGAAGAGCGATGAATTGGATCAGGGCCGGTTTTAAACTGCTAAACGAAAATCTAAATTCTTAGCTAGCTTGGCTAGATTCTTCTAAAGGGTAAGGGCACTGCAGGCGTCCCTGATAACCGACTCTGGTGCCTGCGGCGCACCCTTTTGCCCGGACTCCTGGGCGGTTGATCCACCTAGCCCTACCCTCACGCCGCTACTGAATTCGATAATTTCTAAATATAGTTCCGGTACTAGAAAGAATGAAAACAATAATTTATACCAAAATAATTTCTCCTCATCCTCTTTTTCAGGTTTTTTGATAAAGTTACACTTCATTGGGACGATGTGGAACTACCAGCATACAAAGCCGAACTCGATAAAGTTATAAATAAGTAAATTAGAAGAATATTCTATATGAAATTCTATAACATATATTTATATAACAATCAATCTCTCTGTGTTATGTACGTGTCAAATATATTCTATTAAAACTATAAAATAATATTATCTTCTATATAATTTTATTGTGAACTGAATATTTTCTGCGATATATTAGATACGTAGGTGTAGAATAAACATTTACTCTATATAAATGTTTCTAAAATAATGTAAATCAATAAACTCCGCACAATTTTAAAGCACAACTTTGTGAAGACTTCTTGAATATCTAAATGTATTATTTTTGTAAAAGTATTAAAAAAATTGAATTAATAAAACAAATGCATCAACTGTTTATCTATGTTTAGTTTTAAATTAATGTAACAATGTATTACATTTATCTAAACATACAAATAAATAAAATAATTATTCATTTTAATTCTTTTATTTTAAATGTTTTAAATAAATATTGTTTTAAACATTCGATTAGGTTATTAATGGAAACTAAATTAGACTGAAATAAAATGATAATCACTACAACACTTTTTATGACTATATTTCGTTTTGTATTTTATGTGCAAAACATTAAGTCTAATTTCGGTTATTCTTTTATATTGATTCTATATTGTAATTTAAAAATCAGTGATTTTTCTCATAATCAATCATCATCATCAACCTGTCCTTATCCCTATTGAGGGTCGGCACAGTATATACTATTCAATGCATCTCTATCAGCCGTCATATCCGAATCAACCCCTAATCTTTTCTCATAATAATATTAAATATTAAAAAAGGGTCTCGACAGACGGACGGACAACAAAGTGATACTATAAGTGTTCCGTTTTTTTCCTATGAGGTACGGAACCCTAAAAACATAATACTTAAAAATTAAAAATACTAAAGATTTTGATCAGATCAATGAGGAAAGGGAGGGGAAAAATATATTGCAAGAATAAGGCGTAGAAATAATAAGCAATATTTTTACACACACACATTTATTTTTTTAACAGACAGTTTGACTAGCGAAGCGGATGTTGTAGTTTATCTTTTTATTTTAAACAATTACATACACAATACAAATACTAAAATTTTAGATTTAACAATTCGTTGCAATACGTGTTGTCATGTGACATGTAAATGATTAACAACTGGGCTATAAAAAAGTAATACAATGACAATGCTATTACATAGCTACGCTTTGTATATTTGTGGATATTTGACTGTCTCATATATTATACGTTATTTACAACAAAATATGATTATATTATACAATATATAATATTCGAGTATATAAATATTTACATATAATCACAGTCTGTCTTTGGGAACCTATTGGTTTACATAAATATATAAAAATGCGGCACATTTGGAACGAGGAATATTATTCGTGTTTTTATTAAACTAACACATTGTATCCTGACTTTATACGTAATATTTCATAATATACATAATAATGGTTTATAACACAAAATACAAGTAGCTTCATTTTTATTCATAAAAAATTGCTACCGTATTTAAAAATACTGCATTTAAATTATTATGAATTAAATTATATTAAAACAACCTTTCCATGTACTAGATTTTGATACAAACTTATACCAACATAATAATAAATAATATAATTACGCTGATGAGCAATTGTTTTTTTCTCTCCTTTAAGTTTTGATGCTTAATAATATTAACTTAGGTGCTTTATAATCATGGAATTCTAATATGAAAACAAAAGCAGCACATTTTTTTGAATATGATGGTTTAATCAAAATTAAGGTTAACGCGCATTCGTCCACTCGTCGTCGTCGATCGAGCAGGATAAAAATATAAAGTTAGTAAAACGACATGTTTTTCCCGCACACGAGTTTAAAGCGCGCGGTACACGAGTTGCCACTCGCCATTAATCCATGTCGCGGTGATCGGATTTTTTTTAATCATAAAAAAATATACAC